TGTCACACGACGTGTCAGTCGCTACTAAGACTACACTTCCTCATATGCCGCATTCAATGCACAATTTGCTTGAGGTATTTCAACAATATATTTTTTTTGTTTGTATTGGATTAACTCAAAAACTATTGGGCCGATTTTAAAAATTCTTTCAAAACTAAAAAGCTACGGCATCAATGAGTAACATAGGCTCTGTTATTTACTATTTTATAATGTCAGGGGCGAAATCATGAGCAAAAGCTAAGCAATTTTTAATAAAGACAGCTGTTGCTCGAGACTTCGTCCGCGTGAAATTTAAATATATACCTTATGTTACTCAGTCATAGCATAGCTTATAATGGTGTAAGAATTTATGAAATTAGTCCGGTAGTTTTGAGTTATTTCAATACACACAAAGATGCAAATATTTTCTCTTTATTATATTAGTATAGATATAGTAGCAATGATTTCGTTTTATTTGCAGTAGTTCTGATATCTCAAAACCGCAAAAGTGCATTTCAATATCAATAGTAGGTGATATCTGTTCAGGTGCCATGTTGCAACCGCGGGCGCAAGGTGGGCCGGCGTCGCTCCCGCTCGCAGGCGCCGGCGCTGGCCTCCTCCTCCTCCTCCGAGGACACGGTCAGCAACGCCTCCGTCGCATCTGTCGCCTCCGCACGGGAACTACGACTACCGCCAGATTTAGAAATGCAGGTCAGCAACAAACTTATCTAACTACAAAAAAAACTATTTTTTTTTTCAAGGTTTACAGTTCCTTTTTATTGTCTTCTTTTATATTGTATTTATGACATGTTTCCTTTTATCGTAAACTTACACTGTTGGGATTTATTTCTTTAACTGACGCAGTGTTAATCCCCATCGAAAGCAGTCCAAGCCATTAAAAATTATTTTTTTAATTATAAGCACTATTTTTGACTAAAATTGACACTAAATATTGAATGGCACTACACACGACACTATTTTTAAAACGGGCACTAACAAACCCCTCTACAAACCTCATACTAGAAATCATTTTTGATTTCGTGTATGTTCAAAAGATTTTTAAAATCATCCATTATGAATTAAAAACTGAGGTTTGTCGATGGTTCCAGAAAGTACTGCACTTTGTGTAAATATGTTTGCTTGTTATTTTTCGTATTTCGTTCAATATGTTCACAGCCGTGTGAGGTCCGCCAAAGGAAACCGCTTCGGAGACAAAAGTGCCGTAGTTCCGAGGTGAATGTACTAACGCGACATCTGACAATTTCTGCATCTTCTAGAATACTGTTCGGCTTGAATTGAGGAGTTTGTGGTTTTTGTATCCACAGAATTGGGAGCTTAATTTGTTTCTTAATAATACTAATTGTTAGTAGTAATGTACAATCTATGACAGTATCTTTCTTCATAAAATCATTCATTTCAATCTCAACGATTATTTCTATGTAGTTCTAGAATAACGATCTCGTTATTTCTTCTATTCGTGAATGCATTTTATGGCCTGTCCCACCACTAGCTGAGCTCAGCTAGCTTTAAATGACGTCACTGTCAGATAAGGGAACAAAATCCGATGTTTTACATGTTGCATTGTAATCAATTTACAATTTGGTGGGACAGGCCCTTAGTGTCCTATTTTAGATACTATGTACTTGTTTTCTACATACAGTTTTTAAAAGTAGATGTTGAAAGCATGTTTGATATCATGGGTATGATCAAATAAGTTCAATAAATAAGATTTAGTTCGATTGTTTTAGGATACTTCATCAAAAATATCATCCAGCTTGGATCTGACTGAAGACTCGCGGAAGCCGGTCAAAGTCAACAAGCTGAGGACCATCAGCAATCAGATAAGGTGTGCTCACTTCCATTGACGAAAATATACATAGAATACTAAACTAAACACATAGTCTCCGTCGTCTATACAGATTAGCTATACTATAAAGAGAAAAAAATTGTATTATTGGTTTTTTGTATCGAAGTAACTCAAAAACTACTGGGCAAATTTTAATTATTTCACCATTTAAAAGCTACGTTATCATGACTGATAGACTTGTGGCATTGGCTTTTTTTTAACGTATAAATGGGATTTGGATTTTTAGATTATTTTTATTTATAATAATTTTTAAATTTTACATCCAATCTTTTGTTAGTAAATTTTGTATGAATTGACATAACTCAAAAACTACTAGCCCAATTTAAAAAAATGTTTCACCATAAAAATCTACTTTATCCTCAGATATCTTTGTATTTAATTATTTTTTAATTCCAAGTGGGTGAAACCGCAAGCAACAGTTAGTCATAGAAATATTTAATTCCTTAAACTATATTCCAGATTTCTGCGTCGATTGGAACGTAGTTTAAAAATGAAAGAAAGTTATCCCGCGCTGTCAGATGACGAAGGCGACGAATCTTCGAGTGTGACGTCACCGCTGCTTCAAGGACGCAAGGAGATTAGTCCGCTCGGCGGACACGCGACGTCAGCGCCTCTGCTGGGCGCCGCCAGACCTAAAATGTTGAGACAAAGGCGATACGACAAATCGTTGTTAAGTGAGGAGAACAGGACGTTAAATACCGCGGGTAACGATAATTCCGATTAAACAAATCTTGTTAAATTTCTACCGTTTTATACTATTTTTTGTGTTATTCACTATACTTCTTCGTTTTCGTATTCAAGTGCAAAAGGAAAACACCGTTACACCGATTTGAGGTTATTAGATATATTGAACAGCATTTATAGTCTGTATTGACAGCTGTCATGTTGACATTTATCTATACAAGATTCTAATCTTATTGTGATATAATTAAGTAATGCGATGTAGTGATGTTATACAGTAGAAAGTTCTGGAATTATACTTTTTTCCTTAGTTCTACTTTTAATGTCTAGACGCACCTATTAGGAGAAGCTTGATGATGTAAATAATCGTCTTATAGCAATAAAATTTTCTAGAATTTAATAATTATTAGATAATGCAGTAGTGTTATCCTCACTTATCGGTTTTAATGTTTTTTTTTTAGTTTTAGTTCACAAATACAGTTTATTGAAAGTCCATGTCAAGATTCATTTTGTTTCTTTTACAGAGAAAAGCAATTAGCTTGTTTCAACCAGTACAGACATTCCAAATTATTTTTCAAAATATTTCATACGTATACCTTATCGTATATACTTTCGCTATTGTAATAAAACTTTATCTGTGAGTGTTTTGTAAATATATATTAAACGTATTGCTCAAATAAATATTTTGTGAATTTTATCTTTTCTGCACTTTTTGCTATTTTGTAAATACATGAATACGTTGTTAATGTAAATACCGGGAAAAGAGAGAAAATTTTCATTTGTTTCTTATATAAATATCAGTTTAAATTTAGTTTGTAAGTTTAAATATAAAATGAAAGGCCCAAAAAAATATGTATACTATGTGCACAATTACCACGTATTTATACATAATATACGGTTATATGAGCACGTTATTTTAAGATTTAAAATTGAGTAATTCATACATGTTACCTACGCACCAATAGAATAGAAGTTTGCAATGTTATTTAGACTCGTATGGATATTCTAAAAGATTTATAAACATTAGATCGTGGTAATGTTTCATGAATAGTATCGATTTGTTTTTTTTTTATTTGATCTATTAAAATGAAAAGAAACTCTATGGTTCTACAGATAATTTGACAAGAAATTGTTAAACGATTCTTGTCAATATTCCCGCCAATAAATTGATTTTATTCTTGTTATAAAATATTTATTACGATTATCTCTTACATTGTCAATTATTTTCTACAATTTTTTTGCGAGAATTCATACTTTTAACTTTCATTTCTAATTATTAAAAATCTTTTACTAAATATTTGAACTTACTGTGGTTTTTCGACTGCAGTGATGCGTGTATTGACATTCCTGTCCCTTATTTCTGTTTGAGAGAAACAGAGACAGATGTCAATACATGTTCCACATGTTAGTTACAGTCTCAGCAATAAATTAAATGTGATTCGACTGTGCAAAGACTGACATCTGATTGTTTAAGAACCAAGTAGGAATTCTGTGTTGTATTCGATGTTTTATCTTATAAAAATCGTGTATATGAACTGCCTTTAAACGCATTCTATCCGTTTACCGAAATTCCCGAATTTCCCGAATTTCTGCCGCCGAAATGTTGCCATTTAGAAAAAAAACTATGTCCTTTACTTCATTGCTTTCCCCGTAGTAGCGATTTTCATGTTTCATTAGATTCTTTAGTATTCATTGCTTAATTCATCAAATGTAAAAATAATACTATCTTGTAGTTATGGTAATAAAGGCCTGTTCAAGACTGATTTTCTAAACTTAACTCTTAAATAGCTTTGTTTTTTTTCTGAATGTGAGTGAGAATGGAATTCTTCTGTTGTTTTGTCTGCGTGTAGCATTATTTTATACTTGCTCTATATCTATCGACATTAATTTTACATCAGTCGTAAAATGCATATATGAGACGTGAGTCCAAAGTCTATTGGATAAAATTTTATGTTTAAAAATTTCGATTTATGAATTCGATTTGATTCGATTTCGATCGATTATTAAATTGAGGTGTTAAGAATTTAGGATTATAAGCGCACCTAATTATTATAAGCAATATATACATTATTAAATTTAATTATTAATAATAAAAAACATTGCGTAGTAACTCTCATAAATGTCACGTTAAATAAAATGGGGAAAAGATTGTTAATCTGCATTAAAAAGCATTTTTCAAATGTTGGAGTAAATAGTAATACAATAATCTGTTTTCAATTATTTGTAAAATAGCATAATATTGTGCCATGTCTTAGTCCAAAAACATGTATTTTTATTTATTGATGAAAAAGTAAATCAGATTGAAAAAATTATGTAATTGGGAAGTACTCAAGTTTTGTTCAATCGAGTATTGTTGTAAAAGAGTTTATAATAATTCTGCATTTAAAAGCGCAGGGTTTATCCATCCACATAAAGTATTTAGCTACAATACTTTGAGATTTTCATGTAAAGAGTTAAGAACTTGTATGGGCCGCTTCAATATTTTGGCGGCGAAGTCATCTGAGCGCTGCGCGAAGCATAAAATTGTTTTCTGCGCAGCGATTCGTGCGATGTTCAGAGCAGTTGAAATATTTAAAAACGAACACTATCGGACCAGGCAGATTTTATTGTAAGGACTTATGTCACGAATGTATGCTATTGACTTATTTTTAATATTACTGTGTATTTTCACTGTCGTAACTGTTATCAGTAAAACATGTTATCTGTTGGCGCCGTTTCTGCCGCGCTTTAACAGATGGCGCTGAATCGAAATAGGCTTGTATTAAAACACGATAAAGAGAACTTATCTCGCCACGATATAGCTCCGCGGATCTAATTAATTAGTTTTTTGGTTTTTATATCATTTGCTGATTAATTTTTAATACGTTGGTCAGTGGTATTTTGCGTACTTATTAATCATTGTTAGTTACTGATGCATCTTTCATTTGTTGTTAATTATGTGCGCACAAAAGAGATTATGTTGTAAATTGGAAATAAAGTGGACTAATGTTAACGTGATTTTAAACGTTGAAAAATTACGTATCTGTAAACCTGTTGTGTAACTTTTTTTATGTCTTTTTTATCTGTGATCTGTATATCAATATTTTCTCGTACATTTGCATTTGTCAATCAGGTAGATAACAGAATATAGATAAGTTTACACTTTTCTTAATTCAAGGTAAATCATTTATTATTGTAAACATCAATTTCACTGACAATGTAAAAATTAAATAATAAATTTGCTTGTTAAAAGGGTGGTTTTAATTGATTTTACCTCTGTATATTTTGCTGGAAGGTTATGTAGCTAAGAGCGCGAAAACTCTTTTGACGAAACAATCGCACGACTGTTTAGTTGCGTTTTTTATATGCTATCCCGGACTTTTATTTAGCAAATTTAACGATAATTCTTTCATGCATCATTTTTATGTAGAGTAGCTTACGTAAACATTGAAAGCAAAATTGTCTTGACAGGCTTTACGGCTCCCGTAGTTGCGATTAACTCAAAAACTACTGGATAGTATTTAAATTTGTGAAAAAATGGGACCAATTACACGCAACAATTGTGCAAAAATTTTGTAAATCTGATAACTTGGTGGTGAAGATGTGAAAAAAATATACAAACGAATTGCAAACCTCCTTTTGGAAGTCGGTTAAACAGGGGAACAAGAATATTAAATAAAACAAATAATTACTACTTAATATATTTATTACAGACAACAATATATATAAAATATAAATAATGCGACATTTTGTCTTGAATGGGTAATTGTAAGGTATCTCTTAATCTTCATGAGATTAGGCGTAGATGTAGAACATCGTCTGGAAAAGCACATTTCCGAGCGGAGTCGCGGACGACAGCTAATAAATTAAACAATCCAAAGCTTATGTCATAAAATCACAGTGCATTTGCATATTTACATCATCCATATTTACAATTATTACAATATTTATTATAAACAAAAATAAACGTTACATAATTTAAGCTGCCTAATACGAAGGATGTTTTTTTATAGTATAAGGTGGCCAACGAGCAAGCGGCCACCTGAATCCACCAAAGTGGAAAGCAACCGCTGCCCATAAACACCCGCCATTGCAGATGCGTTGCCTACCCTTCATTGACGGAGAAGACCCACAAAAAGACATTTCCCTTTCCTATGCGTCTCCTCCACCGTCAAATCCACTTTTCCTTCCTATCGTTTCCTCTTAAGAAAAAGGTGGAAAGGGGAAGGGACTAAAATTAGGCCTCCGAGCTATCGAAAAACCAGGGCTGAAAGTTTACAGGCTCTGTTGTAAATTAAATCGACGAAAAGTGTACATATCCCGATAAAAGGGAAAATAGTACGATATTTTTATTTTATCTTCGCGACAATGTAAACAGGAAAATAATCCTGACTGTTCCACCGTCACGAAATATCATTTTTAAAAATTAAAAGTACACGCATTCCCTCCAAGCAAAATCTCTTTCATTTTACTTCCCTCAAGTATATCGGCGATCAAATATTTACAAAGCCCATCTTTTTCATAAACAGAAAAAATCACTTTCATAATAAGAATAAAAGTACGAAAACTTTTCTAGTTTAAGACTCGTATGAAAATAAAAAAAGGATTCAAGGAGATTCATTCCTTACAGATCTCTTAATTTAAGAGCACATCAAAAACGCTTTTTCTAAATTGTACGTAACAAAATATTATGCAACCACCTCGCAAGCTATAAACATATGTAAAAATATTTGAAATTTGTTGAATCAAACATTGAACCACTTACATTAAAAGGACAGATTATTATAATTGTGCAAGTATGGGTGTGTTCCACTAAGCGCTCACAACGATCACACTAAACGTGGATTCCAGGATGCTGAGGTTATCTTGGAGGGATAAAGTACGCAATAAAGTAGTGTTACAACGAATGGGAAAAAACAAAAGACAACAAAAAAGTAAGTTGGAGTACCTTGGCCATATAAAACATAAAATATACAGGGAAAGATACAAGGATAAAGAAATCCAGGAAGACGTACATCTTGGCTGAAAAATCTACGCCAGCGACTGCAACAGTGACAAAAGCTCGAGTTGCCGTAATGATAGCCAACCTTCAACAGGAGATGGCACTCAAAGAAGAAAAATGTAAAAATGAAATAAATATATTTTTTAATATAGTAATAATAATATATAATTGGATTGTCTGTAACAAGTTGTTCCGTTTCGACCTCTTGCTGTATAAAATATAAGTTCCACGGTCGCCATCTTAGATGCTTTGAATTTTCTCAACGATCACTTCGACTCATATTTTAAAATGGTCATCTTGAGCCCTTAGACGAGGTTGACAGATCAAGAGCAATAGTCCCCTGCCGAAAAGGGAAATTAATAAAGATGACGTCATAATTGAAGTTTTCGCCACGACCGCAACGAACGTGGTCGTTATGTGGAATGACTAAAGGGGCATTTTAATCGTTGTGAGCGCGTAGTGGAACCGTTTCCTAAATTGAAAATAAAAATTTATTTATCTGTAATCTGTGGTAAATGTCACTAAGATAGCATTTTGTTTATATAGTTAATTATAACAAAAACATCTAATGCCCTTGCTTTACCAAAATAAATAAAAATTGGAGTACAAATCATTTTAAAATGGCCATACAAAGTGGTAGAAATCTGTCTGGAAATTTAGAGCATGCGCACACCTTTGACTAAACGATCGAACAACTGTTTATTCTCGCTTTGAGCTTATATGGAGGTGCGCACACTGCTCGATTTTTAGTTGTGTAACTAAACCGTTGAGGCTGCAAAACAATCGACAATCGCACAACGGTTTTGCGATAGTTTGGTTAAAGGTGTGCGCGCGCTTACAAAAACGACATGACCTAGATCGTGTTATAAATAAAACATAGTATATTTTATATTTAACTAACTCTAAAAAAGTACATCACATATTCACCTCTTTTAAACATATAAAATTAAAAAAATACTACAAAAAATCTCACTCAAAACATTATGCGTAGGAATAATCACATAGTACTAATTCACATTAATAATTTAATTGTAAAATACAGCGTTAACCTCATGGAAACATCAATTTATGTACGAAACAAAATGTCCATATCGTAATACTAAAACTTAAAACAAAATCGCAATATTTTTTTCAAATTCCATCATCAGCGTTTCTCAAAAACATAGTAGTGTAACAAACACTAGTTCCGACGTTAAAACATAGATGGCGCTACATGTACTCTGAAACGCGATGACGAGTTTCATGTAGTTTTATTTGAGTCGTTTTTATTCGCATTACACAACAAAATTTTTCAAGAGACAAAATAAGACCAATAAAATAGGACTTCGCTCCACTCTAAATACAAAGGAAAGTAAAGTAAAAGAAGAGAAATGGAAAGAGTCAGAAACATTTTGCTGTAAATGTCAGATAGGAACAAGAACTTTATTATTGGAGGCCAAATTCGCTTCATCATTCCTCAGAAAATTAACTGCAAATGTTTCATCAAAACCACTTAAATAACTTTATTTATTTCTTTTCCAATTTTATTTGAATTGTTACTAAAATACTGATTTTAACTTCTTAGATGTAAGGTAATTGTAATTTGAACATTGTTTTTCTATGAAATAAATGAAACATGCTTTTTTACATCTATACTCTATACCATTATAATAAAGCGTAAAGACACTTCTTTGTAGCCTAAGATGTCAGCAATTACAGCATATTTTTTAATAATTCTTTCTTTAATGAAATGCCCTACAGTTACGTTACGCTTTAGGCTATATATTTTGACGACATTAACCTTAGGGGGGTAAATATTTTAGATAAAAACCTTTGTGGGAAAGAGACCATAAGTTGTTGCCAACATCAAGGAAGCAAGCTTGCCATGATTGACATCATGTCATGTCATTTTGACATTTGCATTTGATAATTTAACAAATGTGAACAATAAAATGAAATTTTTATAATTTCGGGAACAGCTAGTTTGATATTAAAAGCAGACTGAAAAAAAACGTTGTTTTACGCCTTCCTTCATACTACAAACAACAAAACAAATCAAAGTGACAATCTTAATCACCGTTATACATCCACTGTATGAAAATTTCGTTTCGTACATTCTGGAATGTTCGTTACCAGATGTAATATTGTACTAATTTATCTTATGAACAGTCTGAAGCAAAAATAAGTCATTTATAATTACCGAAATTTATGTACACGTTCGGTTACAAAAATATGAATCGGTTTGCTTTACAAAATTCTTAGGCCCTGTCCCACCAAATTGTAAATCGTCTGATAACAATCGAATATGTAAAATATGTGATTGAAATATCGGAGTTTGTTCCTTTAACTGACAGTGACGTCATTTTTAAGCCCAGCCAGTGGTGGGACAGGCTCTAAAATTCGTTACATATGTAAATAAGTAAAAAAGTACCTTTTTAATTCACTTTTTCTCTTTATCACGTTTGAATATCTGTTCTGTTACCATTAAAATTAATTAAGCAGCTGACTGTACTAATAAATAATATCACACATAACAATAACAAAAAAACTTTAATATACAGGGCGATTAATGGACATCTTCATACAAAGTTTACCCGTTAAGAATCACCCTGTATATGAAAGCGGTATCTAAGCTAGAACATTCCATCATGAATGCCAATCGGTACTAAAATCGCTAGAAATATAGCAAAATTCCTTAAAACCAATCTCCAATCATCGGGCACCGCATACGGCAGTATTATTGAGGTCAATTTATGTATTTCATGTGCGGTGAAAATGAATATATAGGATGTTAAAATAAGATTTAATATGGGAGCACTCGGTATCAATACTAGAACACCATGTGTGTCCGCCGCTAGCCATATATGTGATTGACTTGCGAATAACTCTAAAGTGATAGTTCCAAACCAAGCGAAGAGGTTAGAATGTTTTGTCCGGAGAGCTCCGGAGACATTTCTGAGTATGATATAACTGATTATGGGTAAGAATGCTACATAGCTGTGTATCTCGTTGCAGTCGAAGGTGTTGGTGCAGAGGAAGGTGAAGGTGACGTAGGAGCCGAGGCCGATGAGGGCCAGCAGGGTGGCTGTGAGGGAGAGGCCCGGAGTGAACAGATTGCTGTGGTTGTTGTCGTCCACCAAGTTGTATCTCTGAGCGAGCAGGTATAAACTCGCGAATATAACACCATACGCCATTGAATACCTAAAAAATAATATAAGTTATTTATTATTTGTACCAGGAATAATAAAAATGAATCGATTTTTGACTTTTTACCTTGAGATACTTTGCTTTACATTGAAGTGATATCTGAGCGTATGTTATGAATGGAATAAGACAATTGACGTCAATTGTCTCATGTCAACTCCGGTCGCGTTTTAGTCGCTCGAAAATGGTCTTAATTTCATTTTATTATTTTTAGCTCAATGGTTGGATATTTTCGCGTCAAATTTTTTTTCTGGTTGTTTTATAACAAGTAGAATCGTTTAAAAATAGAAAAAAATACATGCATTTGTCGAGAAAGCTATGAAAAAACAACGAAAAAGCCACTCACCGATCCTGTTTCCACATAAACCACCACTGATGTATATCATCATCCGAGTTCACAAAAAGAGCCTTCCACGGCCTCGTCACAAAGATCTTCTGGAAGAAGACCTCGCTCATGTACAGCACCGTCACTATACTGAGAAGACCCATTATCTTCAGCGCTATGTACAAGTACTGGTAAGGCTTGGATTCCACTGTGTGTGTGGACGATTGAGTTATATGAGGGGGTAGGG